TGGAGGCATACCTGCTTCAGCTGGCAGGCGGCGGTTCAGGTCAGCCAGCTAAAGGAAAATAATGAGGTTCACACTTTTTTTTTTTTTTTTTTTTTAAAACATCGTTTTTTGTATTTTAAGTCAACTTCACAATACATGCTGAAAATATCAAGAGTGATTATGTGTCTCAGTGCTGGTTGTGTTTTTTTTTTTTTAAACTCAGTTCTTGCCTGGTGCATAAAGGTTTACATCACATAAAACTCTTGTTACTTAAATCTAATGTTGAGTCCAGCATATTAACTCTGTGTGTGTGGGGGGGGGAGATTTGAAAGTATGCATATGCGTTTCTCACCTCCATGCGGCGAATGTCTATAGATAGTACAGTGGTGAAGAAAAACATCTGCAGGAAGAAGTCAGACACCAGCCCCACAACAGCAAATAAACAGAATTCCTAAAATAAACAGAAGAGACATTAACCACATAGAAGCATTTCCCACCTGGCTTGATTTAGCATTATGCTTTGCTTATTTAATAACAATAACTTTAACTACAGTTTTCTCCTGGTGCACTTCCTTCAACAGTTGCAGCACTTGTCCTCTTACCTGGATAGCTGGCACAAGAGTGAAATATCCAATGAGGATAATACACAGCTCAGTGGCCATATTCTTCATGATAGACCAGCTCTCATTACTAAGGCCTGAAAAAACAGAACAACAATCAGGGAAAAATGAAGAAATGCACAATATTTAATAAGCCGTAACTAAACTACATTCTCCAAACTTACCTTGAGCTATGCGCAGTTTGACCTCGAGGTCGACAGGGGTGGAAACCACAGACTTGGTGAGCACCAAGACGTTCTCCAGCCCGATTACCACCACCAGATAAGGGAAGATCTCACTGCAGGGAGAAAAATAAAATAAAATACCCTCAACTTTGAGTACAGTTATCTTTGGTAATATACACTTTCACCACATTACCACTGTGTGGAATTCTGTTTAAATTACAAACACAAATGTACTTTAATCTGACTTTAATAATGCAAATGTATGTGGTCCACTCCTATGTTTTGTTTGTTTTTTAGTTATAAAATCAGTCATTTAGGGTTCA